CTACCACTCTGTGATCCAACCTCAGGGTCTCTACCACTCTGTGATCCAACCCCAGGTCTCTACCACTCTATGATCCAACCACAGGTCTCTACCACTCTATGATCCAACCCCAGGGTCTCTACCACTCTGTGATCCAACCTCAGGGTCTCTACCACTCTGTGATCCAACCCCAGGTCTCTACCACTCTATGATCCAACCACAGGGTCTCTACCACTCTATGATCCAACCCCAGGGTCTCTACCACTCTGTGATCCAACCTCAGGGTCTCTACCACTCTGTGATCCAACCCCAGGTCTCTACCACTCTATGATCCAACCCCAGGTCTCTACCACTCTATGATCCAACCTCAGGTCTCTACCACTCTATGATCCAACCCCAGGTCTCTACCACTCTATGATCCAACCCCAGGGTCTCTACCACTCTATGATCCAACCTCAGGTTCCACAAGTATCTCTACATCCTCTGCGACTTCGTGCCTTACAAAAGTATTTGTACACCTTGAACTTTTAAGAGAAGATAAACCTTAATTCTCCTTGACTGTAAATTTAAATGACATTGATGCACATTTCTGCAGGATAAAAGGGGAAATAAGAGACTCAGGTGATGCACATCACACAGGATCTGTGTGATAATATCCATCCATCCATCCATTTTCTTCCGCTTTATCCGTTGCCGGGTCGCGGGGGCAGCAGTCTAAGCAGAGACGCCCAGACTTCCCTATCCACACACACCTCCTCCAGCTCGTCCGGGGGGACCCCAAGGCGTTCCCAGGCCAGCTGAGAGACATAGTCTCTCCAGCGTGTCCTGGGTCTTCCCCGGGGCCTCCTCCCGGTGGGACGGGCCCGGAACACCTCCCCAGGAAGGCGTCCAGGAGGCATCCTGAACAGATGCCCGAGCCACCTCAACTGGTTCCTCTCGACGTGGAGAAGCAGCGGCTCTACTCCGAGCTCCTCCCGTGTGACCGAGCTCCTCACCCTATCTCTAAGGGAGCGCCCAGCCACTCTGCGGAGGAAGCTCATTTCGACCGCTTGTATCCGCGATCTCGTTCTTTCGGTCATTACCCAAAGCTCATGACCATAGGTGAGGGAGGGAACGAAGATTGACCGGTAAATCGAGAGCTTCGCCTTTCGGCTCAGCTCCCTCTTTACCACAACGGTCCGATACAGCAACCGCATGACTGCGCACGCTGCACCGATCCGCCTGTCAATCTCACGCTCCATCCTCCCCTCACTCGTGAACAAGACCCCGAGATACTTGAACTCCTCCACTTGAGGAAGGACCTCTCCACCCGCCTGAAGAGGGCAAGGCACCTTTTTCCGGTCGAGCACCATGGCCTCGGATTTGGAGGTGCTGATTCTCATCCCAGCCGCTTCGCACTCGGCTGCAACCCGTCCCAGTGCATGCTGCAGGTCCTGGTTCGTTGGAGCCAGCAGGACGACATCATCCGCAAAAAGTAGAGATGAAATCCTGTGGTTCCTGAACCGGACCCCCTCCGGCCCCTGGCTGCGCCTAGAAATTCTGTCCATAAATTCAGTGAACAGAACCGGTGACAAAGGGCAGCCTTGGCAGAGGCCAACATGCACCGGGAACAGGTCTGACTTACTGCCGGCAATGCGAACACAGCTCTGACTCCGGTCATACAGGGACCGGACGGCCCTCAGCAGAGGACCCCGGACCCCGTACTCCCGGAGGACCCCCCAAAGGACACCCCGGGGAACACGGTCGAACGCCTTCTCCAAATCCACAAAGCACATGTGGACAGGTTGGGCGAACTCCCATGAACCCTCGAGTATCCGATGGAGAGTATAGAGCTGGTCCAGTGTTCCGCGACCGGAACGAAAACCACACTGCTCCTCCTGAATCCGAGATTCGACCATCGGACGTAGCCTCCTCTCCAGTACCTTGGAGTAGACCTTACCGGGGAGGCTGAGGAGTGTGATCCCACGATAATTGGAACACACCCTCCGGTCCCCCTTCTTGTAGAGAGGGACCACCACCCCGGTCTGCCACTCCATTGGTACCGCCCCCGATCGCCACGCGATGCTACAGAGACGTGTCAGCCAAGACAGTCCTACAACATCCAGAGACTTTAGATAGTCAGGACGGATCTCATCCACTCCCGGCGCCTTGCCACCATGGAGGCTGCCAACCACCTTGGTGACCTCGGCCAGGGAGATGTAAGTATCCGCCCCAACATCCTCAGCCTCTGCCTCCTGGACGGAGGACGTGACGGGGGGATTGAGGAGAACCTCGAAGTATTCCTTCCACCGCCCGACAATATCCCCAGTCGAGGTCAGCAGCCCTCCACCCGCACCATACACGGTGTTGGCAAAGAACTGCTTCCCCCTCCTGAGGCGCCGGACGGTTTGCCAGAACCTCTTCGAGGCCGACCGATAGTCATGCTCCATGGACTCTCCGAACTCCTCCCAGACCCGGGTTTTTGCCTCTGCAACCGCCCGGGCCGCGGCACGTTTGGCCTGCCGGTACCGGACAGCTGCCTCAGGAGTCCCACGAACCATCATTGCTCAATAGGACTCCTTCTTCAGCCTGACGGCATCCCTTACTGCCGGTGTCCACCACCGGGTTCGGGGATTGCCGCCGGGACCAGCACCAGAGACCTTGCGACCACAGCTACGAGCCGCCGCATTGGCGATAGAGGAAGAGAACATGGTCCACTCGGACTCGATGTCCCCCTCCTCTGCCGGGACCTGGGAGAAGCTCTCCCGGAGGTGTGAGTTGAAAGTCCGTCTGACAGGGGGCTCAGCAAGACGTTCCCAGCAAACCCTCACTACACGCTTGGGCCTGCCAGGTCTGTCCGGCCTCCTGCCCTGCCAGCGGATCCAACTCACGACCAGGTGATGATCGGTTGACAGCTCCGCCCCTCTCTTCACCCGAGTGTCTGAGACACGCGGTCGAAGGTCAGATGATACGACAACAAAGTCGATCATCGACCTCCGGCCTAGGGTGTCCTGGTGCCACGTGCACTGATGGACACCCTTGTGCTCGAACATGGTGTTCGTGATGGACAAACTGTGACTGGCACAGAAGTCCAACAACTGAACACCGCTCGGGTTCAGATCAGGGGGGCCGTTCTTCCCGATCACCCCTCTCCAAGTGTCACTGGCATTTCCCACATGGGCGTTGAAGTCCCCCAGGAGAATAACAGAGTCCCCGGGCGGTGCACTGTCCAGTACCCCTCCCAAGGACTCCAAGAAGGCCGGGTACTCTGCACTACCGTTAGGCCCGTAGGCCGTCACAACAGTGAGAGACTTGTCCCCCACCCGGAGGCGGAGGGACGCGACCGTCTCATTCACCGGGGAGAACTCCAACACGTGGCGGCTGAGATGGGGGGCAATGAGTATGGCCACCCCAGCTCGCCGCCTCTCCCCGCGGGAAACACCAGAAAAGTGGAGCGTCCAACCCCTCTCAAGGAGTTGGGTTCCAGAGCCCAAGCTGTGTGTGGAGGTGAGGCCGACTATCTCTAGTCGGTATCGCTCAACCTCCCCCACAAGCTCGGGCTCCTTCCCCCCCAGTGAGGTGACGTTCCACGTCCCAAGAGCCAGATGTTGTGTGTGCGGACTGGGTCGCCGATGTCTCCGCCTTCGACTGCTGCCCAGTCCTCTCTGCACCTCGCCACCACGGACCCCTCTGCAGGTGGTGGGCCCACAGGAGGGACTGCCCACGTCATCCCTTCGGGCTGAGCCCGGCCGGGCCCCGTGGGCTAAGGCCCGGCCACCAGGCGCTCGCTTGCGAGCCCCAACCCCAGGCCTGGCTCCAGGGTGGGGCCCCGGCTGCGCCATGCCGGGCGACGTCACGGTTCTCATTGTCGTGCTGTCCATGGTTGGCTTCGGACTGCGCTTCGTCTGACTCGTCACTTGAGACCTGTCTGCCATGGGAGACCCTACCAGGGGCATGAAGCCCCAGACAGCATAGCTCCCAGGATCATCCGAGTGCTCAAACTCCCCCACCACGTTAAGGTGGCAGTCCAAGGGGGGAGCTGTGTGATAATAGATAAGAAATATATGAATAAAATAAAATAATTATTATAGCACTTAGTTCAATAATAGTACTCTAGTGGAGTTTACACTGTAGTCATCAGGAGGTCTTTACAGTTGTTTATTTTGTACTTTAGAAGTTTATATTTAGCAGTTTATGTTGTACTTTCACTTTTGCACATTTGCTCAAGTTTATAAACATAATCAAAAAGATTACATTTAGTTGTGTTTAACTGAAAGTTCACACACAAGAAATAGACACTTTTGAAGTGAAAGAAAATTGATACATGACTGTATTCTGTTTTTTTTTGTATTGTAGCTTTGTTATGCTAACAGCTAAGCTAATGTCAGCAGCTCTGAAAACATTGTCGCGGGCCATTACATTTTGATATTAAACAAATAAGAACTAAATATATGCCATGATTGACCAAACATCATTCCACAAATTGACCATGGATCTATTATAATATCGGGTGAGAGTCAGAGGAAAGATGTCACTTTCAGGTGAGAGTGGGGCTGCTGGAGGAGCAGCCATGACACTCTCTGTCTCTGTCTGTCTCTCTCTCTCACTGTCTCTCTTTTCTCTTTGGCTCTCTGTCTGTCTCTCCTTTGGATGTGAACATAAATGTCTTGCAGGTGTCTAGAACAGGTCTGATTGAAAGATGACGATTCACAAAAGAGACTGAATTATTGTGATTTTATTGCTCTCAAACTAGAACATGCAGAACCCAAATCACTATAATGACACAGAACAGTATATAGATGCATAGTATAATTTTTGCTTTTGTTAACAGAGAATATATGTGTTAATCTCAACTGGATCCAATCAAAGTATGACCTCCTGACTGTTTGGTGTTTGACCTTCTTTATTTTTGCTATAGGCTTCTTATTGAGGATATTTATGTTTGTGGTATTTGTTGAGACATCTTGAAGAGGAAACAGTATATGGTGAGAAACTAGAACACGTTTAAAGCTACAGGTGAGTATACTCTGCTTTCAGGTGGTTCAGAAGACGACGGTGAAGAGGGCAGCGGTGAGGCCCATCAGGACGGCAGGAGGCGGGGCTGATGGGAAAGGGGAGGAGTTACACAGGTGTCCGTCACAGCAGGACATCAGGAGGGTCTGGCAGAGAGAGGACATTACACAGCCCTGAGTCACCAAACCTGAGGCACAAACAACACAGAACAATGAAAGACGGATGGAGACGCTGTGGAGATAATTAGCAAAAACAACAAGGCTCCTAATTGGAAGTGGAAAGCGTTGACACGACGACAAAAAACGATGCAATTCTAGCGCCCGGTCAGTAGTGGGCAGAGGAACGTTGCAACACGACCCCCAGCAGTATAGTCACTTCCTCAACAACATCCTCCTCAGGCCACTGTAAAGGTGTGAAAGAATGCACTAACATCATTCTGCATTTAACAGTAGCGCGGGAGGCTGTTTCTCAGTCCGATACCCAACTCTGACTTTTTACTGTCGCAATGTCCTCGCATACACAGCACCTAAATATGAGAGATCACATGACACCACAGCTTTAGGCAATAAGCAGCTCTGAACTTTCTGAAACATTTGAAATTTAATACAGAACTGGACCAAATAACGCCTCGTGTGATTGTTTCTATCTTGTTATGGTCAGAAATTTGAGTTTCCTTGTGTCTGAACTGTGTATTCAAATAAACTTGTCTTGCCTCTAAGACCAGTGTATCTGATGAAGACACACTATGCACATTCGAAGAGACAGAAAACAAACATTACCGAGCACTTCGCTTCTGAAGCAGCGAGTCTGGTTGAAGCCACACTCCACAGTCCTGGTGCAGGGCTGAGAGTCTGTCACACCACAGAGGTAACATTTGGATCCAGACACTGTGAGAGGAGAGAGAGAGATAAGAGAGAGAGAGAGGATATAGATGAGAAAGATGAGAGAGAGATGAGAGAGATCAGAGAAAGAGGAGAGAGAGAGGAGAGAGAGATGAGAGCGAGCACAATACAAGCTTTAATTGAGGCAGATTTGGACAGTATACAGTACAAAAAATCGATTCTGTTCAGTTTTACAATATTTTATGCACACAGTTAAATCAATACATTAGAGCAAAGTATTGAGATATTTAACTGAATAATTAACTGTTTCCGAACAGCTGAGAAACCCTGTGGAAAAAAGTTAGTAACTTCGGGGAGGCAGATCCACTCCCACAGACAGACAGACTGTAGACCCAGGACTGAGGCTATTTATCTTTCTAATTTGCCTTGTCTGTATAGTTCTAATATAAATCAGTCAGTGAGTGAATTAATTAATGGAGACTCGTTTTTAGTAAAGAAACAAGACGTTAGAAAAGAGAAACCTGAAATCATCTACAAACATGGATTTTTACCATTATCCTGAAAGCACTGAATATTCCTAGTGATTTAGCTGAGATTCTTTAGATTCTGTTTTTAAACAGATTCTTCTGAGATCAAACATAGCAATTACAATATTTAACCTACATTAACTTATACATTTGTAAGTATTGGTCGCCTGCTCCCTGTCCTGATGCTACAGCTGTTACACTGGTATCTCTTTTATAGTACCTGAGCAGATCACGGAGAGAAGGACCAGAGCAGCCAGGTTCTTCATGGTGGATGATCTTAGAAATATCGAAAATCTCCTTCAGTCCTCCTTTATACTACAAGGGTTTGCATACATTTGTTTTTGTCCTTGTGCTTCGTCATTTCCATATGCATTACCATCTATGCAGAGACTGTTCACAGATGGGCATTTCTATCCTGCAAGCTCAATGAAGAGAAGTGCTCATAGTGAAGTTTGGTTCCACTCTCTGGCTCCTTGAGCTCAGTAACCGTTGGCACTGTGGCACACTCTTCATTTTGGGCTTAAATCTGTGGTTTATTGCTCTCTGTGATCCTGGTGTTTATATTGTGATAAAGTGTCTTTGTAAATCCAGATATGAGCCATATAAGGACTAACCAATCAGAGGTCTTCATTCAGACGTGGAAGAACTATTGTGGGGTAGATCGAGGACTGAGGCTGTAGATCTAGGACTGTGGCTGTAGATCTAGGACTGCGATTGTAGATCCAGGACTGAGGCTGTAAATCCAGGACTGAGGCTGCAGACCCAGGACTGAGGCTGTAGATCCAGGTCTGAGGCTGCAGACCCAGGACTGAGGCTGTAGATCCAGGACTGAGGCTGTAGATCCAGGTCTGAGGCTGCAGACCCAGGACTGAGGCTGTAGAACCAGGACTGAGGCTGCAGATACAGGACAGAGGCTGCAGATACAGGTCGGAGGCTGTAGACCCAGGCTGTATAACCCTAACCCTAGTCGTTTTTGTGACCTTTTCCTTATCTAATAATTGTTTTGAATTTCTAATCACCATGACAACGGTACTTATTTCTTATCCCTCTGACTCCTTAGGACACAGAGGGCAGCGGGTCTGAACCTTGACCTCTCTCTGGATCCACATGAGCGTGAGAGGCCGAGGCCAGGTCTTTCCCATGGTGCATCTGGGCTGATGAGGTTTTTACAGATTGAGGAACCTGTTGATGGCTGATAAGGAAAGCGACCAATCAGAATGCAGGATCAGGTCCCAGGGCAGCCAAGGGGCGGGAACTAATTAGAGAAGAGTGAATGGGGTTTGACGAGTTAACAACACACTGTTTAACGATAGAAACGAAGCAGACAGAAACGATTCTGGGTTTGTCATTATTTTGATGTATGATATTGAAGCATTTAAGATAAGATAAGATAGACTTTATTGATCTTACACTGGAGAAATGTACAGCTATAAAAAACAGCTACTTAAAGTGTATGTTTTGTGTGCTTCCTGTGTGCCCTTACTACTGTCCTATATGGGCGCTGCAACATTGACATTTCCCCACTGTGGAACAAATAAAGGTTCTCATGTCTTATTAACTTATTTTATGTCACCATGTTATTATTGCATTTCCTGTGCTTAAACTTTTTGATTCTCTGATCTGTTGTTGGTGAATCCACAACTTTGTAAAGTCCTCTCACATACTGCTGCTATGATTTAGGGCTGTTGGATTTGAGGTAGATTAATGCACCTGCCACCTGTATGAATACTTTTCACTTCATGGTTTTAAAATAAGAACAAAATCATGCCTCATCATCTGTTCCTTGTGAATAAACTTTTAGTGAGAAATCCCAGACTAAATCTTCATGTTTATAGATGTAAACATGGCTATCTACAGTTCTCTCTGGGAAGCAGTGCGGCTGAAGTGCAGTGACCTCTGGTGGCCAAAGAGAGACATGACGTGTCAGAGAGCACAACAAACAAAGGGTTCTTGGATCAATTATAATAAAACTGCTTGTAACTATATTTATGGGGCTCAAAATGTTTGCTTCTGGATTGTATGATAATTTATGTCCCTCTGTGTGTGTGCTTGGCTGATTTTAGAGCCAAGCACACACACAGACTTTACAAACAGTATTTGTTTATTGACACACCACACGTGAGTGAGAGACAGCTTCAGTGATGATGAAGTGATGGAAAAAGGAACAGAGAACACAAAGTTCAACAGAATTAGTTTTCATACATGTGTTTTATACAGACTGCAGGACACAGACCGTGTAAACAGAAGGTCCTGGGTTCAGATCCCCTCAAGGAACGAGAACATCGTCCTCTCTGAATCTTAATCCATTGAATTTTACAGCTGAAGTATAATTGTGTTTATACTGTTTTAAGCTTCTGGCCATCTTTTTATGAATAGAAAAGTCCATTTTGGGGAAAATAAAGAGAGAGAGACCAAGGATCTTCCATTCATTCTCTAATAACTAGCTTTATCATTGTGCCTTCTGCTGGTAACAATAGGGAATGATCAGTGGTGCAAAAATATTACAATACACACAAAAACGCTGATATAAAGAGTGAGAATGTGCAGCAGTAATACTCTGGAATTACTTACAAAAATATACTGTATGTTTTTTATTTTAAAGTCAGAGGGATTTTAAGAACTGTTTTTGAGTAAAATCCTAGAGAAGGATTTGAAGATAAGATACATTTGGACAGTTCCCCAGTGGTTTTAAATGTGTGTCGGCCAAAAGCTGGGAATACTTGTTGAAATCTATTAAACTGGTTCTTGTATATAATTTCACTTTTGGACGCAACTTGTATAAATAAACTTTTTCAGACATAAGAAACACTGAAGCCCAAAGTGTTCAAAACTGACTCACATCCTCCTTTTACTTTAATAAAAATACAGTTTTGGTTTTGAAGTTGTGTGTCTAGAAATGATGAGTTCCATTAGAGAAAAATATCGGAAAGACTTAAATATAATTTCTCCATTCTCATAGGATCTATTTTAGTGCCATACAAATAAACTTTCCTTTCTTGAAAAAAATCTTTCAACTGTTATGCCAACAACAAACAGTGAAGATTATAGTTTGAGTTAAAGAGAGGAGATTGTAAGTTTTTACACAATAATTCTTTCATCTTTCTGGAGGGAAAACAGATTAAAAAAAAAATAAAGCAAACAGATTGTACAAGATTTTTTGTAATAACAACAATAACAACACACAGGTGAAGAGAATGGACTTCAGAATCCTACACCGAGCGTTCAAATCTTACTAATTCTTTTCTAACATAAATTACATTCCTCAGTTTCACCGCTTGGTCCAAAAATTGTCCATGAAAAACTTGGACCCATTCAAAAATATGGTAAAAAAATACATACATTAATTATGTCTTCTTTACGTTTAAGGCTTTGAAGGTTATTTTAATAAGACAACAAGTGTAAAGAAGCTGTGGTCTCTGGAGACGTGAGTCCCAGATGTGAGGCAAGGTATAGGCCCCCTCGTCTCTGCTGATGGTCCCTGCTCTCCACTTCCTGATTTTAATAACCTCTCTTCCTTCTTTTGTATTTCTATGATGTTAATTTCTGCAGTGATCAAATGTTGTTGATTTGAACATTTCCTGATGTGGTTTTTAAACTTCTTCACACTGTCTTTTTAGAAAGAACCTTCTAAGCCTTTAATTTATTACAAACAGGAAAAATACTCCCAGATCAGATCGGATTGACTCCATAGAGCAGCAGAAGCAGAGAGAGAGGAAGGAAAATACATGACACAAATATACTTCAGGTTCCAACACTGATAAGTAGGTTTGTCAGTGCAAAGAGAACTGGATCTGAATCTTGTTTAAAGTCCAATTTAAATGGATTGATCAACATCCACATAAACCAAATACTACTGAGAAAAGCAGATCTATTTAAAGCTGGAGTACCTGACTTATGTTGCTTGACTGCAATTGGTCTTTATTATTAGGAACTTAGTGGGAACAGCCAGGTTTTGGAAGCCTGGCCCATATTCTCTGCTCTTATAAACACACTGAGGGGAAAGGAAAAGGAGAACTAAAACGAATATTATGTCATTACAAAACAAGCTAATAATGTTCCTTTGTCTTGTGGGTCTGTGTCTCTGCTGCTGCACAGAGAACTACAGTAGTTTTAGCACAAAAAGAGAAAAACAGCAAGAATCCATAGAAAACGTTATACACAGTCCACGGTCCGCTGGGAACTGTTTAAGACACTTTGGCATTATTCTCCGCTCTCCCATTGGTCCAAATGCAAGTCAGCTGATCCGTAGGCTGGGGATCGTCCAATCAGGAGGCAGGACACTCATCTGCGACAGACAAGAGCAAACGGCAGGTCAGAGGACGAACAGAAGCAAACACTGTCCTGGATCTACGGCCTGAGTCCTGGATCTACGGCCTGAGTCCTGGATCTACGGCCTGAGTCCTGGATCTACGGCCTGAGTCCTGGATCTACGGCCTGAGTCCTGGATCTACGGCCTGAGTCCTGGATCTACGGCCTGAGTCCTGGATCTACGGCATGAGTCCTGGATCTACGGCCTGAGTCCTGGATCTACGGCCTGAGTCCTGGATCTACGGCCTGAGTCCTGGATCTATGGCCTCAGTCCTGGATCTACGGCCTCAGTCCTGGATTTAAGGCCTCAGTCCTGGATCTACGGCCTCAGTCCTGGATCTACGGCCTCAGTCCTGGATCTACGGCCTCAGTCCTGGATCTACGGCCTCAGTCCTGGATCTAAGGCCTCAGTCCTGGATCTAAGGCCTCAGTCCTGGATCTACAGCTTCAGTCCTGGATCTACAGCTTCAGTGATGGATCTACAGCTTCAGTCCTGGATCTACAGCTTCAGTCTTGGATCTACAGCTTCAGTCCTGGATCTACAGCTTCAGTCCTGGATCTACAGCTTCAGTCCTGGATCTACAGCTTCAGTCTTGGATCTACAGCTTCAGTCCTGGATCTACAGCTTTAGTGATGGATCTACAGCTTCAGTCCTGGATCTACAGCTTCAGTCCTGGATCTACAGCTTCAGTGATGGATCTACAGCTTCAGTCCTGGATCTACAGCTTCAGTCCTGGATCTACAGCTTCAGTCCTGGATCTACCATCTTTGAGAGTCCAGAAAGCGCTATATAAAACCCATGCATTGTTACTATTATTTTCCGTTGTTTATTCTAATGTCTAAAGTGGATTATTGTAATGTTAGAGTTCGGGTGTATTCAGACCTGAAAAGTCCTTTGCTCCGCTTGCTTGATCCAAATCAAAAGCGGACCAAACTTTTTTTCTTTTGCTCCGGTTTGTATTCAGACTGTCCTTTTTGCAAGTGAACTTTTTTATATAAACATATTGACACGTGTGACGATCGGCGCTCCTATTGGACAGCGAGAGCTCAGGGAGGATAGACGCGGAACCGGCAGAAAACATTGAGGGCCCGTATGTGCAGCATGTCTGCTCTGCCTCTGTTGGCTGTTTTTAGAGCAAAACCACCTTCAACATCAACAGCAGCAGCTCATATGACGCAGGCGAAACACGTTGTTTTAAATATTGGAACAGCGTCGGAGAATGCGTGAGGAGAAAGCCGAAGGAGACTGTCTGTGCGCTCCGTGCCGTGTCCCACACATGGATCTATGATAATAACGGCCCTGTTCAGCATTGTGGATAAACCATGGATCTATAATAACCACGGGACAAACAGACGCTGAGGATCAGGTAGGAACCAAAGAACACAATTCACTACATGATGCGGAATATTGCTCTTTGAGACGTGAGTCAAACAGTGTCAGGCTTTTAATAATGCAAATGGTTTGAAGATGCTGCAATTAACATCAATGTATACTGTGAACAGTTTTAACTCCATAAGCCTGTTGCACAGCGTCTCCTCACTGCTCCAGGTCTGCACACGGCTCAGTGTTGTTGTGTAGCGTTAGCATCATAGTTAGCAGCATAGCAGCATAGTTAGCCGCTGCGTGGCTAATTCCTCAGTTTCTGTCTGCGGTGCTTGTTAAGCCCAAAAAATGCGCACGTATCTTGGAGTTGTGTCGGATCGACATCGGATGTATTCAGACCTGATTCGACTTGGACCAGAATTCGTTTGGAAGCGGACCGAGACCACCTCAAAAAGTGGGTCTCGGTTCGGTTCTTTGGTCCGGACCAGGATTCGTGTGTGTGTATTCAGACCTGCATAAAAGCTTCGGATCAGAGTTCCAAACGAATCCTGGTCCGTTTAAAGTGGAGCAAATGTGCAGGTCTGAATACACCCTTAGGGTAGGGTAGGAGCAGGACCTGCGCAGGCTGCGGGCCTCGTACAGCGTGTCGTCCTCCTCGCTCTCCGCGGCCTCCATCTCCACCGAGTCGTCGTAGTTCGTCAGGAGACCGTACTTCTTCTTTGGCGCTGGTTTCTTCAGTCTGAGAAACAACACAACGGTGAGATAAACAAAAAAACGACTTTCCCCAATTCACATACAAGTACGTTCGACGGCTCCTATGTGTTTGTTATTATTGCATTTCCTGTGTTCAGTTTATTGTATTTGTTTATCGCCTTCAATCACAACAGCAGTTACAGTGCCTTGCGAAAGTATTCGGCCCCCATTGAACCTTTCAACATTTCGCCACATTTCAGGCTTCAAACATAAAGATATCAAATGTTATTTTTTTGTCATGAATCAACAACAAGTGGGACACAATCGTGAAGTGGAACGAAATTTATTGGATAATTTAAACTTTTTTAACAAATAAAAAACTGAAAAGTGGGGCGTGCAATATTATTCGGCCCCTTTACTTTCAGTGCAGCAAACTCACTCCAGAAGTTCAGTGAGGATCTTTGAATGATCCAATGTTGTCCTAAATGACTGATGATGATAAATAGAATGCACCTGTGTGTAATCAAGTCTCCGTATAAATGCACCTGCTCTTTGACAGGCTCAGGGTTCTGTTTAAAGCGCAGAGAGAACCATGAAGACAAAGGAACACACCAGGCAGGTCCGAGATACTGTTGTGGAGAAGTTTAAAGCCGGATTTGGATACAAAAAGATTTCCCAAGCTTTAAACATCTCAAGGAGCACTGTGCAAGCAATTATATTGAAATGGAAGGAGTATCAGACCACTGCAAATCTACCAAGACCCGGCCGTCCCTCCAAACTTTCATCTCAAACAAGGAGAAGACTGATCAGAGATGCAGCCAAGAGGCCCATGATCACGCTGGATGAACTGCAGATAACTACAGCTGAGGTGGGAGAGTGGAAGAGTGGCAAGAAGAAAGCCATTTGTCAAAGATATCCATAAAAAGTCTCGTTCAAAGTTTGCCACAAGCCACCTGGGAGACACACCAAACATGTGGAAGAAGGTGCTCTGGTCAGATGAAACCAAAATCGAACTTTGTGGCCACAATGCAAAACGATATGTTTGGCGTAAAAGCAACACAGCTCATCACCCTGAACGCACCATCCCCACTGTCAAACATGGTGGTGGCAGCATCATGGTTTGGGCCTGCTTTTCTTCAGCAGGGACAGGGAAGATGGCTAAAATTGATGGGAAGATGGATGGAGCCAAATACAGGACCATTCTGGAAGAAAACCTGTTGGAGTCTGCAAAAGACCTGAGACTGGGACGAAGATTTATCTTCCAACAGGACAATGATCCAAATCATAAAGCCATATCTACAATGGAATGGTTCACAAATAGACGTATCCAGGTGTTAGAATGGCCAAGTCAAAGTCCAGACCTGAATCCAATCGAGAATCTGTGGAAAGAGCTGAAGACTGCTGTTCACAAACGCTCTCCATCCAACCTCACTGAGCTCGAGCTGTTTTGCAAGGAAGAATGGGAAAGAATTCCAGTCTCTCGATGTGCAAAACTGATAGAGACATACCCCAAGCGACTTGCAGCTGTAATTGCAGCAAAAGGTGGTGCTACAAAGTATTAGCGCAAGGGGGCCGAATAATATTGAACGCCCCACTTTTCAGTTTTTTATTCGTCAAAAAAGTTTAAATAATCCAATACATTTTGTTCCACTTCACGATTGTGTCCCACTTGTTGTTGATTCTTGACAAAAAATATTTTTTTTATATCTTTATGTTTGAAGCCTGAAATGTGGCGAAATGTTGAAAGGTTCAAGGGGGCCGAATACTTTCGCAAGATACTGTATATCAAGGAGGACTTTACACAGATATGGATTAACCAACAACAGATTAGAGAATCAAACCGTTCAAACACATGAAATGCAATAATAACAAATACACATGAGCCCACATGGGTCTAGAGAGAGAGGGATGAACACTGTTGAGGAATGTTCATAAATGTCCAGGATCATCACTGTCCTCAGACTCCTGCATCAGAGAGGAACCACTCAGAAACCCAGTGGGACAAAGAGAAACAAAAGTAACAATAAATGTCCCTTTTCCCCCCCCCAGAGTTTGTAACTGCAGCTTGAACGTAGAGACATGTGTTTGTGTAGAACTGGGTCAGATTCAGAACGATTCAAAAACAAAAGGCCTTTGTGAGTCGCTGCTGTGGAACTATTAAACCTGATTGAACAAAGACCTGATTCAAACAGGATTACTGTGGAAAAGAGTGTTTATCATAATTGTTTTACATTTCAATTTGGGATTACCACATGCCAGGAGAACAAATAATTAGGGAAGAGAAAACAATAATAAATGTGTTTGTGCTTTTTTATTTTCTGAGTGAATAATTGTTTGTATATCACACGCTTGTTTGAAATAAACAAATGAAAAATGTGTCAGTGTCTGGGAAGGATGCAGCATGAGATTGACAGGTGATTGAAGAGTGAGCAGCGTCTGAAGTCAGAGCTCTCTGTTCCCTCCCTCACCTATGGTCATGACCTTTGGATAATGGCCGAAAGGACGAGATTGCGGATACAAGCGGTTGAAACTAGCCTGGCCTTAGCTATCCGTAAACTCCAGTCAATTATCATTTCCCTACATGTACGCCTGGGTCTGAACTCAGTGGCTGCGGTTTAATCCTCTCGACCATTCAGCGAGCAGAGGAGGCGGGTGTTGTAGGTTGGTGTTGTGACTTCAAGAGTTTGCGCCCAATTGGCTGGTTGTAGTTTAGCAATGGCGACGAACACGATAGTTAAGCAATATCAAGAAATCAAGAAAGAGTCACGATAAACTCAGATCCAATCGTTTCAATCTGCATAAGGTGTTAGATGGCTAGATGGATGAAAGTATCCATTTTCCATCCATCCTTACAGGCCAAACACTTCATACAGAGGTGTCACTGTGGTCTGTTGCGTTCATGTTTCTCTCTGTGCCGCTGACCTCCCAGTTCCAAGACAAACTCAGGAATCTGAAGCGTTACAGAACAGCAGGAATTGAACCAAAGCTGTAGAATGTGTTTTTGAGTCCGTTTGGTTTGAGGTTTTTCCCAAAAGAGATTTTAAAAAGCTGACGATGAGAGAGTGAAGCCAAAACAACACTTAAAACGGATTAGTCGGTGAGAGTCGGTTATTGTGGTTTAAATACGTAACTATGAACAAGCAGCGATGACTGAAACACTTTAACCTAGTATCAAATTCCCCACTAATATCCCTATTATTTATCTACTGTATTCTAAATTCTAGTTTTGAATTTAGTCCAAGTCCAAGGCTGAATCAATTAAAAATCACCCTTTAATAGTCTTTGGGCCTGTGTGTTTGTGTGTGTATATTTGTGTTTCAGCCTTGATAACGTGAAATCCCATTGTTCTGAGTTCAATTATAGACAAGTTTGACACAGATTCTGAGGTGTGTTTGAATCTCTGGGTTCAGGGGACTCACAGATGCAGAAAGAGGTTTGAGACCGTGTGTGTGTGTCTGTATCTCTGTAAGTGTGTGTCTGTGTCTGTCTATGTCTGTATGCATGTGCGAGTGTGTGTGTCTGTGCCAGTGTGTGCCTGTTTGAGTGATATAAAACCACATTCACAGACAGTGGGACCAGAGCAGATGGCAGTATTGTCTTTTCTGCAGGAGGCGGATCTTTGGTCCAACTCCTCTGAGGGTTTTAAATATTCCTCTAGAACCTGTCATTCATGAAACCAAGCGTTAGTATCAGGTCGATCCGTTTTTGGACATATCTAGATTGTTTTAAAATCAGTTTCTAACTCAGCTGCTAGTCCCAGGCCTTATGGTCGACATCAAATCACCAAACAATTAAATGCTTATTAATGTATAACTTATGGTTAATTAGCTCTTAATTGGTATTTATTAAGCTCTTATTAGTCCTTATTATAATCTAAATTTAACCTAAGTATAACCAATAAATAAAATTATGTAATAAATGTTACAGTAGTTTGATAAGGATGCCTGGTCTTTATGAGGTCTGGAAGGTAAAACATGCGCAGAGAAGATTGTCAGTGGATTTAGTAACTTCAGAAACTCACAGAACTGTCTCCAAAACACATGAGCAGAAACGGCAGGTTTTAAGACCAAGACAGTGACAGATTTCACACAAAAGCATAACATTCTTAAGAGACTTCAGACTCCTGCCTAAGCCCCAGATAAAGTGGAACCAGATATCTCCGGTTAGAATCAAAGTCCCTGAACTTTTGCAAACCCATCAGTGACGGTCCACTGAAAGGTCATCATGAGATGAGTCATGAGTCATGTGTGATTAACAAAATAATTCAATCAGTGAAAAACTTCAGTTCAACTGCATGAAGCGACCGACAACCAAACAACCAAACTTCTAAACCCTGACTTCTTTGTGTCGCAATATTTAATTACATATTTTTGTGTATCGCCCTAAATCACAACAGCAGTCATCTCGAAGGACTTTACAATGTTGTCTCCAATAACAGATCAAACACAGGACATGAGCCCAGACTCATAAAGATATGCATCTGTCCGCATCTGAAAGGTAACCACACACATTTCTATACAGACATAGTTTATTTTTTAAAGTTTATATTTAACCTAGTTTTATATATACTCCCCACTGCTGTCACTATTACTCATCTATTTTAAATAAAAGTTTCTAAGGTCCTCCAAAACTGAATCAATTCAAATCAATTTTTAACTGTGATTGATGTTGATTGCCTGTGTGTGTGTGTGTGTGTGTTTTGTGCTCTGTTGTATTTGTGTGAGGGTTTGGAGTCAAATATGCGTCTGCTTCTTCCAAACCCTTTTCAAACCGTGGAAAATATACACAAATATACACAAATACGATACAAATAATAATCAAAAGAACAAATGCGGAACTGTATTAGATGTCCAATTAAGACTGGCCTCCTGCTGGGACTCTTAGGAAGCTAAAATCTGGAACAGTCTTCCTGATCATGTGAGACAGACTTCTTCTCTAACAATGTTCAAATGAGTTAAAAAGAGTTCTGTTGCGCTGGAGTTTACCTTCTCTCTTTTTTAATGTACTGTGATTATTCATGATTGCCTTGTGTGATTATTTCTCTCTTGTTTTCTTTGAGTTGCCTTGTGTATAAACTGTGCTATATTTCCAGTGAGGGTTTAAAAGTAAGGAGTGAAAGTAAAAGGAGAAGTTATTTAAGATTCTTTAGAGACATCAGCTGCAGTCTTGTCTCACCTGACCGCTCGGATGAGGAAGTAGAGCATCCCGGTGAGCGTGATGCCGATCAGGACGTACAGAGCCCGCTGGATCATGGAGCTGTCCACGCTGAAGCCGCCCACGTCGCCCCCTCTCCGGCGGGGGACCGTGGAGTTTACGGTGGGGCCGCTGCTCTGGTTAACGGGCTTCACTGACGTGTGAGGCGGCTTGGACACATGCTCCTCCGCGGCGGCTACGAACCACAGCCAACATATGGAGAGAAGCAGCGTCGTGACCAGTCTGCGAAGCGACATCTCTGGGGTAAGGTAGAAGCGGGTAAAGTTTGTGTCCGTGGGTTTAAGATGTAAAAGTCCAGTGTCGCGGGCAGAAAGCAGAGTTGCGGATCCACGTTTCGCTTCTGTTTGTTTTGTTTGGCCCAATGCGGAAGTGAACCTCCACTTCCGGTATGAATGATGACGTGGCCACGCTCACACAGCTGGCTCGTGACGATGTGAGGCAAGATCTGTGGCCGTATCTGAAATCTGAACATTTCTCCTTCCTAGTTCAATTTTCACTGTATCCAAATTTATGATTAAGATCTTCGTTCTTATCCTCCATTATGCTTCCTACTTTTTAATATATTTATCTATAGAACACTTTATTCATAAAGCACCCAAAATAGTTTAGGAAGTGTGGTTAAACAGCAGCATATCTGTTAAACTCTGGAGGCTGTTTCTCAACGCTTGTGTTTTCACCCGCCTAAAACACAGACTTCATGGCTTTTAGGTTCTTCTAATAAGACAATTAAAGCAAAACAAAGCTAGTACTGCTTAAATACACATACATTTAACACAGACTTCATGTAAACGAAAGGCCAATCCGATACCCAGCGCTTACGTTTTACTGTCGCAGCGTCCCCGTGTAAACAGTTCACCACATCTGCAAGTTTCATCTACATTTGCTGTTAAAACAATGACCCCATAGATAAGATAAGAGAATCAACTGTCCCACGGGGGATACATTACAGTGTCACTTACAGTCCCTCTGTGTCCTGGGTCTTCCCCTGGGTCTCCTCCCAGTGGGACATGCCCAGAACACCTGCCCAGGGAGTCGTCCAGGAGGCATCCAGAACAGATGCCCGCTCCTCTTCACATGGAGGAACAGCGGCTCTACTCAGTGCTGTTGCGGTAAGACACACATAAAGCCGCAGTGCAGCTGTGGCTACAGTAGTTTTTGGAGTGAGTGTCCAGAAAACACTGTGTAAAACCCATGCAGTATAATCATTATTCTACTGTCGCTTTGTACAGTGCACCTGTGCTATAACACTTACAGCAAAGCATCTGGTTCGTCCAATGTTATTGTTATGTCCATATTAAATAAATAAATAAATACAAATTAAACACACAACACCACCAGGGGACAGTAAAACTTTAAATACAAAAAAACAAACTTCTTTGAGACTTCTGTGGATCAGTCTGACTCAGCTCAGATTCAGAGTGTAAGAATATTAATGCCATCTCCTTCTGCAATCCACAGACTCACATTCATAAACAGTGATAGTGGTGTCGGTCACAGCAATCTTATCATAAGATAAGATAAGATAAGATGAACCTTTATTAGTCTCACAGTGGAGAAATTTCAGTATCATCGTTGCGCACATTACAGCAGAGAAAGGAAATAAAAGCACTGATTGCACACATCAAATTGAGTCTATTATTTAAGATAATAGACAATAAAATTAAGATAAAAATAAAATAAAATAAACTTTATTGATCTCACATTGGAGAAATGTACACATTTGGCATAGATTACTGAAACCAGTTGTGATATAATACAGTACGTTAATCTGGGATTACTTTTTCACACATACAAATCAATAGCAGTAAACAACTGATGTGTCTTTAACTCAGAAGCTGAAGGAGTTTCTGTGGGATTTCCTCGTTCTCATTTTGTTCCTGCAAGAGACAGTTCCATAAGTAACTGATACATATATCAACATCAATTTAATCTAACTACAAGTAATGTTTTACACTTTTAAAGTTTTCAAAAAAGGAATCTGATTACTTGTTGACTTGGAGTAATTAGTGAGTTAGCTCCTTACTTAAGACACCACTATTATACATAAATACCATGAATATTTTTTTACTTTTTAACACACATTTTGGACATTTCTTGTCTGTTTGCAGCCACAGTGATCTGAAGCCAAATCAAACATGTACTTCTCATTGTGAAATCTATAAAAAATGTCTCATAGCAACGGTTGCCATGACCAAAATGAAAACACATGGGGACGATTAAGCAATGTTTTCCTTAATTGAACAAAACAACAACTGTTTAGTGGCTTAAACAACATCCTGCTGAATAACAGACCTTTAACTTTATAATAAATCTCAGAGCTGTGTCTCATAGTGGGGAAATGTTAGTGTTGCCTCTCCGGTTACAGAACAGTGGGAATTAGGAGCACAAAGCACAAGATGAGTGAACAATTACTCTATACTAGAATGAAATCTCTAACTTTAGCATCATAAAGAAGCAAATATGAAATCTCTTGGAGTGATATCAAACATAAACATAAATGAAAGATTGTGGACAACATTAAGTTCATGTTGAAATATTTCTAGTGCAGTTTGTAGTCCAGAAACCAGAGAAAATATATACGTATATACATTACATAGACTTTTTGTGGCCGTCTCTCTGGCAGAATATGGGGACAATGCTTTAGTTCTTAGGACATTTATGAATGTTCTTATTTTTTGCATAATTTGTTTCGGTCTCGATGGTTTTTCCAGATGGCTCTGAATATTCACTATGTGCTCAGTTCCACTTGGTGCGATCTGAACCTCCATCTGCCATCAGTGCATAGGGCTGAGACAAAACTCGCACAGTGCTGCTACTACTGCTGCTGCTACTGCTACTGATGCTACTACTGCTGATGCTACTGCTACTGATGCTACTACTGCTGCTGCTACTACTACTGCTGCTGCTACTGATGGTACTGGTTTTGCTATTCCTGCTACTGATACTGCTGCAACTGCTGCTGCTTCTGCTACTGCTACGTTTGCTACTTCCACTATCTGCTTCTGCATATATCTTTATCATATATAGTGTATATACAGTGTTCTATCATATATAATTGAATAGACAGGGTTCTACCATAAATTAGTGTATATATACAGTATACAGCTGCAGAAATTGTGAGTTTGTTTGCTCTTCTATTGTCAGATGTCCAGTAAAATTCTATTCACAAAGTACAACCAATAATAATGCCCAATCTTATTTGTGAAAAGTAATCCCAGAGCCCTGTTTTGGACGGTCTGCCTATTTTGACAGCAATAGGACACTCAGTGCTCAGGCATCACGGCGAGCACTACGGGTAGGAGACCGGTCCAAGATGGCGGCCGCATTTCTAGTGCCCCGGCAGCCAATGTGGCGTCTACTCTTAAAGATAAAGGTAAGGGTAAAGGTGCACTTTATTGTCCCCCCCAATTCATCCTCTGCATTTGACCCATCCTGATGCCACTAAGGCTTACGTCAGGAGCAGTGGTCACCGTAGTACAGCACACAACCCATCTCCAGATGTTGATGCTCGGCTTGGTCAGGGCCAAAGCTAGAGGATTTAACCTGTGCATATTTTTAGTGGTAGGGGAAACCGGTGGTGGTGGTGGTGCTGCTTTCCACACTAGGGGGCAATAGTGAGTCACAAATGAACAGCTATTTCTAAGCATTGAGAGACACAATATCCATGACTGCAAGTTTTTACAATTGTATTGTATCATATTATGGTACACACACACACACACACACACACACATAAACACACACACATATATATATATATATATACAGACACACACACACACACACACAGAGACACTATTGTGAAGGACAGCAGGTCTTATGAGGTAAAGATATGTTTTTGGAGTCTTGAATATTTGAGTGTGAGCTCAGAGGGATCCTGAGGCAGAACTCCAGCTCCAGGACCAGAGCTCAGCCTCCTGTATGAGTCTGTCTACTGCTGCACACAAGAAAATACTAATCCTTCTACTACTACTGCTACTAATACTACTACTACTACTACCATGTATATTTTCTCTTGTTTAGGGCTGAGATGGGAAAAAACAAGACATATGAAAATAATCATTCTTATTACTTAATAATAATAATTTTGAATTTTAAGTTTGCAGTAAAAAAACAAATGTGTAACTGGAGAAATGGGTGGGATTAAATAAGTTCTCTTCTCCCTGCTCCCTTTGGATTTTGATATGTCACAATATTTCCCCTGGTCTCCTCCCAGTGGGACATGTCCAGAACACCTCCCCAGGGAGGCGTCCAGGAGGCATCCCAAACAACCACCTCTACTGGCTGGGTACAGTTTGTTTTCCGTTTGCAGTAAAACCACAGTAGAATACATGTGCAAGAGTCCCCAGTGTGCACCAGACGAATGTACATACATAAAAAAACAAGATGGGCTTGGGCTAATTTACATCTGTAGTCCCCCGGCAGGGAAAAACACTCGATGTACAGGTGGGAAAAAAGTAGCACAGACATACATATAAATAAATACACACGTGTATACAGTCAGAAGATATACACAGGGCAGAGACACAGTCACAGACGAATTCACACACACATGCACACAGTTACACACACACACAGGTGGCATCAGTACCATTAGACTTATGGAGAGTGTTCACACCGTTGCAGTGTTTTTTAAGTTCTGTCTTAAAGAGTAACACATGACTTAATGAAGTTAGGAAAAGCATTCCACTACCTGTGTGAACATTATGTAAATGTTTTTAGTGCTGAATTTGTGCTGCAGAAAGTGGAGTTTGTGCCACTATCAATTTTTAAATACTGAGGTGCTATGTGAATTGGGTGAATTGCCACCCCCCCAACCCAGACATGGATCAAGGGGAAGAAAATAGATGGATGGGGTGCCCACTTCACACAGGTCCTTTACCTGTGTAGAGGCATTCACAGAGAAGGAGGAGAGACCAAACGCAGAGCGACGGAACGGAATAGTAGAATCGTGCACAGAAAATATTTTCGTAGATCTTATTGAGTGTATTGGTCTATATTTCACCAATGTATTCAAACAATCATCACTGTGAAACCATCAACCAAACAGCTTTGTCCATCCAGCCATCCATCCATTTTCTACCCTTTAATCCATTTCTGGGTCAGGGGGGTGGCCAGAGATGCTGCCCAGTACACAGAGCACCAGCCCCTCTCTGGTCCTCCTGCAGGTGGTGAGTCCACAGGAGGATGGCTGCTCTATGACACAGCCTTGATCTTTCAGTGGGGGCTTCAGGCA